ATTTGATCCTTCCATGTGAGTCTTAGGTAGATTTAGGGGATTCCTGGCCACTGTCTGAACTAGTAATTAGAGCTGAGTAAATAATTTGCAACTAATAATTTGTTAAATGTAGCCACTTTTCTGCAAGTAGAATATCTGCAAGCACATCACGAGTCCCTCAAAAGTATTTGCTATTCCAGTTTAATCAACAGCTGTCTTTTAAAATACGTTATTGTTGGATTTATTGCAGATATTCAAAATTTGAGCTATGGTGTTTAGTTGTGATTGGTCAGATAAGTCACATAGTGGTGTTTCTGTTTCCTGAATGGATGAACACCTCTAGTGTGAATATTTGCATATATGAATTTAAAATTTGGCTTCAGTGAATGCTCACATGTGTTTGAAATTCCCTTTTCATGCAAGTTTTTGACAGTCAAATCCTATTTCTCAAACATTCCTGGGTAGAAAAGAAAGGGGTGTGCATGAGGTCAAATGAAATTAATCTAAAAATGTGAACAAATATTGGTTGGAGAAAAAAGATATATTTTTACATCAATTTCCCAGATCTACTAATGAGAGGTGTAAATTCATTTTACCTGTTTCCTTTCACCCCATTCACCATGGAGATGCTGAAACTATGGTGTTTAGAGGAAAGTTTAAACACATCCAGTCATTGAAATTCCCATGGACTCACAAAGAACTTCAATCATCGTGGCAGTACAAGTTGTCAGATAGTTAAGGCTAAGATATTACCTTAGAAAACTCCAACCACTGTGACCAGCTGCATCCAATGCCTGCTTGAAGCCCAGCAAGAACATAGGAGTCACCTTTCTGGATCAGGGCAGTGGCCCACTGTGATGTTTCACTCCATATTATTTATGAAAATATGCTTATGATATGAATATGACATAACTGAGATGTACTTTATGCAAGATAGGTTTTGTAAGATATCATTGGAAAAGTTATCATTTACTGAATGTGATTATCCAATTTGTATGCCTGTATCATTTCTGTATCTGAAGTTAGGAATATTGACTATGTATCTGTATTTCAACTATGCTACTTTGGGTGACGCCCACTGCTAACACTTCGGGTACAACAGCGGAAAAGCCAGACGGGGCTGATGGCCCATCAGCGAGCACAATGGACTGTGGAAAGGCTTGGCCTTCCTGCCAACCCATACTGCCACTGACTCATGGACGCTGTAATACTACAGAGTCAGGTGGTCTTGTCACCTGATACTGAACATTACCTGGGACTTCTTGTAACTTTCCACTGGAAGGGGGTCAAGTTTGGGAAGCAAAGGATTTCCGCCTTATGTAAATCCTGTTTAAGGGTGGGGAGGAAGACAAGCGGACTCCTCCTCTCCATGGCCTGTCTGCCCAAGAAGAAAGACTGCTAAAGCCACCTGAAGGGAAGGCAGGGAGAGTGTCCAAACTGAGACAGGGGTCTAGTCTGAAAAGGAATATAACTGGAACTCTGAACCACAGAAACTTTGCAACCTGCCTAAAATAACATTTAGTGTGAGAATTTACATTTTGTAACCTGTTTCTTAAGCATTTTGAGCTTAGCTTGTGTGTTTTGCTTTATTTGGTCAGTAATCTGCTGTGTTCTGTCTGTTATCTCTTATATTCACTTAAAATCCACCTTTTGTAGTTAATATAACCCAGTTTATGTAATTTCTAACTGGGGCGGGGGGCAAGATGTTGTGCATATCTCCTTCCACATTTAGGGAGGGGGCAAATTTCATAAAACCTTTGGGTTTGTACCCCTCAAAGGGAGTAGGCACCAGAATGTTGGGGAGAGCCCCTAAGGCTGAATCTTTCCAAAGCGGATCTCTGTCTCTCTGTGCAGCTGGGTGTGACTGTGTGCTTCGCTGGAAGAAGCTTGTGAGCCTAACCCAGCAAGGCCAGGAAAAGGGGACCCAGGCTGGCAAAATAGACTGACTCAGTGGCATCCCAGCATATCAGGTGATGCCCCAAAGGGCCCAAACCCATCACACCCACCTAATCTGATACCCTGTCTCCAACACTGGCCAGCACCAGGAACTTCAGAGAAAGGTGCAATTATGGAATGACCTAAAGTGGAAGCGTCTTCCTAATCGTAGGCTAGTCGGGCTGCTCTTCAGAGATACTGAGCACTCACAGCTCCCACTGACTTTAGCTGACGTTGTGAGTGCTCAGCAACTTTGAAAATCTGGGCCTTAGTGGTTGGCTAATGCCTTGAAGCATGAGGTTTATTTTCCTTGTATGTGTCCTATGCAACTGTAATGTTCTCATCTAGATAGATGTCTGCTCTTTTTTTGATCCTACTAAACTCTTGGCAATGAGTTTCATGGGAAACAGTGTTTTGTTTCCAGTTTATCACTTTGAAATGTGTCGTCTTTCAATATCGTTGCCTAAGAACATAAGAACGGCCGTACTGGGTCAGACCAAAGGTCCATCCAGCCCAGTATCCTGTCTACCGACAGTGGCCAATGCCAGGTGCCCCAGAGGGAGTGAACCTAACAGGTAATGATCAAGTGATCTCTCTCCTGCCATCCATCTCCATCCTCTGACAAACAAAGGCTACAGACACCATTCCTTACCCTAGACTCTTGTTCTCATATTATGAGAGGGGAAAGCGGAATTCTCAACTTGCCTTCTCTAGGCCATTCATTATTTTGTGTACCTCTCTTGGGTCCTCTCTCATTTGTCTCCCATTCTCTGCTGTTTGGATGGAGGCAGGGGAGCATCCTGGTATCACTGTCTTGTTTTGTTAGTTTTGGCATTACAAACGTTTTAAATAGTTTTTAAATATAGATTTTCTTTTTATAGGATTAAGTACTTTTGCTTTAAGAGCCTGGCGGCACGTAGCTCAGAGTCAGCAATTCAGATCTCAAGCAGCTGAGCAGCAGCAGACTGTAGAATGAGGTTGACTGCTGGATTGTTGAGACAGCCCCTTTATTTGACATGCTGTGTCAGAGAGGAGGAGATGCTGATCTGGTTGAAGTGCAACAGGAGGAGAAGACATCACGGAGCTGGTACATTCTAATTAAATTAACCAGGAACTCCAGCTGATGCTCCAGGAATCTGAGTTATTGAGAACAGGAAACTAGAATATGGAGAAGGCCCCAGTAAATTAGCACAGATGCAGAATGAAAATCTATATCCTATTGTTTTTTTATTCGGAATGCTTTGTAAAGTAAATGACAACTGTACCTTGATTTATGCTATGAGGAAGACAAAGATTGAGTGCCAACTCCAATGCTGAATTTTGTAAGTATTATCGACTTAGCTCACACCCTTAATGCCATCTGCCCATCCTTCCAATCCAATACAATGTGCAAGAAATCTGCCTGAAAAGACAGCTCTTGCTCCCCTGCTCACTGGCAGTTAGAACTAAATACTCCCTTTGTGATATGATTTGACAGGCAGTCTTGACAATGGATTCCAAGCATCATAAGCATATGAACTGTCAGCAAATGCAAACATCCATCCATCACACATCCTCCATCTGTGATATCCAGGAGACTGCCAGGGAGGTGTGCAGAAGAGAATGGGAGCAGGAGAATATGTGCTCAGTACTTGGCTTTAATGCATGTTTTCTAGGGAATGGTTGGGGTGTGATCTTGCCAAAGAGATGGGCATGAACCATGTCCTTAGGTGTGAACATCCCTGAATTTAGGAGGGTTGAAATCTTAGTACGTATTCATATCTTAATTTCCCAGCTCTACCCCATATTTATAATGAGTAGGATCAAATACCCGTGCGTATTTGGGGATTCATTTGATTAGAGTGGGGCTTTTACACTTTGGACTCATTCCCTCTCATAAATTTAAGATTAGTCAGGCCTGGTTTAATGCTTGGATGGAAGATCTCCAGAGAAAACTGAGGTCATGGTGTGATAACTCAGTGGTCCAATTTTCAAAGAGGTGACTGTTCAAGTGCATGTGTGCACTTTTGCATTGGCCTGACTTAGGCACACAAAGCTCCCGATGCATGTGCATAATGGCAGTGTGCATGTGTCGGACGGGCACACTCAGAAGTGCCTGTGCACTGCTTTGAAAATGTGGAGCACTAGAACTCATCCTTCCTGCATGGTGCTGGGGGACACTGTGCTGAAGGTGCAGTCTTTCAGATGAGATGCCAAATTAAGGTTCTGACCACTTGTGGTCTTAAAGACACCATAGAACTTTCCCCAAGAGTGGAGGTCCTAGCCCTCGTGTCCTCACCTAATTCCAGCTTGGGTAATTATATTCTCCCTAAATTTTCCCTTCATTTTCAACAGGATACAATGATCCCCCTTATTTCTGCTTTCCAGCCTTCTAGGTCCCATGGGTTGGGAGGTGAAGTTGGGATGGCGGCAGGAAGGGAGACCCCTTGAGTTTGACAGATGGAGCAGGGGAGAAAAGAAGCTTGTGGGCTGAGAGGTGGCAGCAAGGGAAGGAAAGAGCCTCTGAGTTCGGTTTGGGAAGGAGAGAAGTCAGCTGTTTGGACAGGGGAGAGAAGGGGAGTTTGTAGGTCGGACAGCCTAACTTGTGAGAGATGAGTGCCCCAAACTGCTCTTTGAAGACAGCGATGAGTGTGAGTGGTCAATTCCTCTCAGGATCAGGTGCCTAGAGGGCCTCCTAAGGCCCTCTTCCTGATTGACTGATTTTGATGGAAGCACAATTGAACTCTTCAGGCTGCATTTTGCTACCCTTCATCCCTCTGAGAATGCCTTGCACAGCTACAACCAGTGCTGTTTGTCGCTAGCTGGCTTCCTGTGTTCCTTCCCTTCTCTGATAAACCAAAGGGCGTGGGATGTTCCCTTGACTCCACCAGCTGGTAAAACAATAGTTTTTCAACATTTCTGGTTGACCATATATTTCCTCCCACCCCCACCCATCAAACACACAGAATTCCAAGCAATGGCTCATGTTTGTTTTGGGGATCTCTGTGATAGTTGACTGGCAGAAGTTGGGATGGAAACCCATAGATGTTAGCAGCTCATTCTTTCGTTCTTGGACACATAAGAGAAGAGACATGAACAAGAGGAGATGGAATCAGAACTTTATTAGGACAAACTAGGCACAGTTGTTTAAAATCTCTCATTCAGGAGAGCACACATCTTTTCCTGATTCAAAAATACATGTACATAAATCGCTTACAAACTAAAATGTTTTCCTCCTGGTTCATGTGGAGGCAATTGTACCAAACCACGCACTGCATCGGACTCAAGGAGTGACAATCACTTTCAACAGCAGGTATCAGAGGGAATAGATCAGTCCTGTTTTAAATCACTCCAAACCCATACACACACAATTCAACGATTTATAAGCAGCTGTACATGTTCAAAAGGGCAAGGTAAATGAAAGGGAGTAGGTTGGACTAGGCTAGTTTATCCTCCAAAGACGGAAAGATAAACTTAATCCCCTTGTTTCAGTTCTGCAATGACCAAATGAATGGAGGTCAAGGTTGGGTTTGGGGACTAGGAACCATCCTAAGTGCTGCTTGAACAGCCTTGTTTTGGGATCCTCGTTTATCTCATTACCAGTGTTGCCATCTGATGAGGGCTCAGGGTGACCTGCATGGTGAAAAGAATCGGTGTGTTTGTCGATTTCTTAATGAATAGTTGCCTGCCATGAGAACTGGCAGACTCAGCAGAGCGGCCAAGGACCGATTGAGTCATGGAGGCCGGACAGTACTCTCACTCTAGAATGAAGTTGAGGTTCATTGGCCGGGCAGGGTGGAGGAAGCTGGCACAACCATTGCCTGTGCTGTAACTCTTCTGAGGATGAACAGGGGATGTCACTCTCCAGGGCTGTCAGTCTAGCACCCTTTCGAAAGAACTAAATGTACTTAAAACATTTGTAAAAGAGAAAAAAAAAATCATGTCTTTCCACACCATAGTCCCTCCTTTTTCCAGTGACATATTTGCATCCATGGGGAAATCTATTTATTTTGGTTAAGTGGACATTTCTCTTGAAACTAGTCTAATAAGTATTTTGGGAAAATTCCTTAGGCCCCTTCAACAGGTAGTCTGGGTAATATCCCGGGGATGCCAGGGTCTGTCTGCTGGCCTGACCCTGGGATGAAGGTATTTCCATAGCTGGACACTAAGGCACTTTATTTTTTTGAGGGAAACAGACAATTCTTAACTACTAGTCAAATCTTGAAGGGGCTACATACATAGTCTCAAAAATTCAAGTAGAATTCATTGCACATTTACATGGTATAGGTAAGGCAAGGTGGTATAATGTGTCTGGGCCCAGGCAGAGAAAAGGGAAGAGAGAGAGCAAAATATAAAGCATTTTATTCAAAGGCCTAGTGTTTTATTTCTGTTTTTCTCAGGAGAGAAAAGTTGTAACTTGATGTGCTTGCAAAGTGGATGTAGCTCCATGTTAAAGTAATTCCAAAGCAACAGTGAGGTGGCCAGTGTATGGCTTGGTGAGTTCAATATTGCAACTCATGGCCAGCCTCATTTTTAAGGGGGAGATGCAATCTCTGGAGATTACAGGTCCTGCTAGCCAACGTTCCATCTCTATCTGAGTGACTAGGAATGGCAGGTCCTGTGGTCCCTGTAGGTGGCGCCTCTCCATTAAATATGAGGTTGGCTACCATCTGCTGTATTTTCTGCAATTTAAGTGCTGTGTTCAGGCTCCTGGCAAATTGCCAGTCTGCCTTCTATTGGGAAAGTTTGCCCCTCCCTGTTCTAAGGCTTAAGAAGTGCTGTCTGAAGTAGGGCAGTGCCATTCACTAAAAAGGAGCAGAGGGCCATAAAACAGAGAGCAGAATGGCAGGAGTTCAAAGGCCACACTGCAGAAGTTTTGCTTAGCATTGAGGCTTTCCCTCCCTCCTTGCCCTACCTGGCAACAGGTCACACAGACAGGTCATCTGACCTAGCCTTACTGCTGGTACGGCTGGTCTTGCTGAGCCTGCGTTTCTCATTGAAATAGCCATTGGAGACCTGGTGGGGGGCAGAGTCATTGGGTGCCTCAGGACTCTGTGCATAGTTGATCTGGATAAATTGGCTTTCTCCAGCTGCATTCTCTTGACTGTGGACCCTCTCAGTGGCAAAGTTGTCCGTGTTCTGCTGAGAGGCCATTTTATTGCTGAAAGGGCTGATGAATTTCCCATTGGGATTGACCAAACACTGATTAAAATCTGGAGGGGGAGTGCAACTTTGAGCCATCTCCACTTGGGGTGCAGGCTCCAGTTTGCCAGCAGCCATGGTGGGGCTGGGTTTGTAAGATTTAGCACACTTCTGCTTGGCTTTTTTCCACCCCAGGTGGTACAGCTCGGCCAGACTCAACAAGAGCGACAACACTGCCACAGACAGCATGAAGATGATGAAGACGTTCTTCTCTGTGGGCCGCGAGACATAGCAATTCACGGGATGAGGGCAGGGGTCCCGGTGACAGGTGTACAGGGTCTTCAGGAAGATCCCGTAGAGGATGTATTGTCCAACAATGAAGGCCACTTCCATAGTGATGCGGATCAAAATGCTGTAGACATAGGTGTTCAGCAAGCTACCCTGGAGTATTATTTTCCCACTTGATTCCTCCCCACTGGAGAGCTCTGCCTTCTCTGCCACAAGGTACTCCTGTTGGTGGTAAGAGTCGCCACTGCTTCTAATCCCCTTTGGCCTCATTTCTGCCTCCTTCATTTTTCTCTTCTCCTCTATGCGCACTGTGTGCATCGCATGCCCCATGTACACCAGGGACGGGGTGGAGACGAAGATGACCTGAAGGACCCAGTACCTGATGTGGGAGATGGGGAAAGCCTTATCATAGCAAACGTTCTCGCAGCCAGGCTGCCGAGTGTCACACATGAAGTCAGACTGCTCATCTCCCCATGAGGACTCCGCCGCTGTGCCCAGCACCAGCATCCGGAAGATGAAAAGCACGGTCAGCCAGACTTTCCCCACCACGGTGGAATGCTTGTGGACCTCTTCAAGGAACTCTCCCAGGAAGGTCCAGTTATCCATCTCTGCTCAGTGGAGCCACAGCCTCTGTGGAGAAAGGATGGCGAGAGAGAGGTTCTGAGACAGATGAAGGGAACTCGTTCTTAAATCAGTAAATGCTGCATTTGAAAGGCACTGAGTGTCCGTCAGGAATTTGCTGTGAATGTGTGTACTGAAACACCCTTCTGAAAGAAACCCTCCCTACCCCCACTTCAGTGCATTATAGCTGTGTCAGTTCAGCATCTGGCTTTGAGCCTCACTGCTGAAGACAGGACACAAAATTACATGGTTCATTGATCTGTTCTGGTTGTGGTAGCTTCTATAAAGTGTAAACTAGTATAAAGATTACAGAGTGTTAACTGGGCTGCTAAACTATTTGAGATGTACCAGACTTTATTCTTGGTTCAGGAAATATTTACTCTGTAGTCTGAGCTTAAATTTATCCTCTGTGGAATCTGCATCTAAGGTGGTTCTCCTTCTGCTGTATGGATAGCAGAACTGTTCTTCTGGGACTCCCCAAATGTACTGATACTTTGAGAGGTGAGATTTGAATCCAAAGCTAGGACTGAGCAATATCCTTGCACTTCCTCTTGCATATGCTGGCCCTCTGCTCTAGCCTATTTAAAATGGATGCATCAGTGGCACAGACATGCTAGATGTTTGAAATGCATGCAGCATCTTCTTATTCTGCTGGGTTTCATTTCAGAATTGAGTTCCACCCTTAAAATAAATGTGTAGGGAACCCCCCTCCCCACCAACCAAGCTCTATGATTTCATTTTGTTGTTGCTGTGTTTTGTTAATTCCAACAGTTTCAGTCATAAATCATAAACATTTTCTGGGCCAGCAATGATCTCAGGTCCTCTTCCAACCTTGTAATCCAAATTCTGATCTTTGATGCTTGCTTCAGAACACCCCTTTGTCTGATACAGGAATGCTGTAAAATCTTAGCATCAGGCCTTGCTATTTTTAAGTTTGTAAGTCAAAATTCACCATTCAGGTGAAAAGAAACCTCCCTCTGAGATGTACCATGGGACTAAAATTATCTATAAAGACCATTTGTTAGTTATAGAGATCAGATGAGAGGCATGGAAAGATGATCTTGTACTGAAAGCTTAGGGTTAGGAATTGAGAGATCTAGTTTCTGTTCTATCCCAGACTCTGCTAGACTCCCTCTGGTCAAGTCACTTAATCTCTCTGTGCCTCAAATCTCCATCTGTAATATGGAAATAATGGGCTTAATTCAGCCTTACTGTAACTCTGGAGTAAGAGAGATACAAGAGAGATTAATTTGGTCCAATTATACTTACCTACCTTACAGGGGCATCATGTGGCAAACATCTGTAGAAGAAGTTGTGATCCAAGGGCAGATGTGCTATAGGAGTGTACAATGTTTTGATGTAGATAATATGCCCACTAAAACACCCCTTTCAAAGACAAAGTATCTTATGACCTCTTAACAAATGGAAAACGTAATAACTACAATGGCAAGATAACAAAAATCACCACATGAGGGAAATACTGACGCCACAAAGGTCCAGAAATGTAAGTCTTTCCTAATCATCCTTTGTCTTGTCTACAAGTGCTAATGACTCTCCCTGAGCAAAGACTGTATAGCTTCTGTGGAGAGTGGAGTTTCAGACTTTATTAAATTGTGAAAATTTACTGCAGCAATATGGTTGAGATTTTACATGCACAAAAGTTGAAGTATACAAGGATATGATTGTTATAGGAACAATAAGTTACCCCCTTGTTAAATAGTGTGGGGAGTAAAATGTAGCACGGCACATGGTGCTTTATACTACTATATATATGTACAGTGTCCTCCAGTTACAGCTCATCATGAGCTTAATCCTCAAAACTGGCTTTGGCTGCTCTGTGCTGCTGCAGGCTGCACTTAAGGGACAGCCAAGAATTCCCCCTGACAGAGGAGAGTTGCTAGGTGGCTGTTCACTTCCCCCACTCCATGCAGGGAATGTTTCAGGATGCGGAGGGGGCATGCCACAAATGGGACTGGGCAGAGTGAGTGGATGGGGCTCTGGCTGATCCTGGATGACACACCTGCTTTCATACTAGACCACTTCAGTTGCCAAAACGTAGCGCCATCCTGAGGCTGCTCTAAATTATACTAGATGCTGTTTCACCCTCCAGCCATCTCAGAATTTGGGGATCAGTAAAGTGGCTTAGTCACCTATTCACGTCCCACAGGTGCACTGGGTGTAAATTTGGTGCCACCGAGGATCTGTCCCATTGTCTGAATTTTCTGACTTTAGTTCATATACAGTTTCAATGTTGTGGGAAAACACTATAAGCAGACAAAGGATTAAATGTAGGCGGATATGTTGGTGATATGAGTTATTTATAAATAGCTACTATGAAATGATGGATCATGTTTCTTGGATGTTGCTTGGTAACTCCATAATGGGAATGATGTGGTATCTACCCTGTTATCTCCTGATAACTCTGTAAATAGTCTGTGTTACCAGTGAGTCCAATGTGCCATGGCATAGTTGTATATATGAAATGTTTTTTCCACAGGGCACAGTGAACCGAGATTTATCTGTACACTTTTATCTCATCTTATGCGTGTGCATGTCCACTACTTGCATGTGTTCCTCCAGGATTCTGCCTTTGCTAGGGAGCCTCCCATAATTTGAAGTAGATGGGTGTCTGATACTGCCAATACGATTATATCCTGTCAACACTGGTTAATGCTAGTTGACTTTTCTCCATATACCCTGTTTGCTAAGGCAAAAATTTCCAGTGCCCTCTTTTGCAGTAAAGTTTTAAATCCAAATAGTTGCCACACTGGTCTTCTGTGGACTTGAATCATGGATTTAGCTCAACTTCTCATCAGTTCTAATGGTTTCTGTCACACACTGGAATTGTCTACAGTGTTCCGATGTTTCCAAAGTACTAAAACTTGTTGCTCAAGTTACAGGACACTGCAGTTCTAGAGGTGAATTAAATATAAAAATCTAAATTAATGCAAGATTAAGGTGAAAAAATAACATGTGTGAAAAGCTCAGAAATAATGGAAAGGGTTATTGGAGTAACATTAATTTACCCATATTACACATTCATAATATTTCCCATGACTAATTGGACTGTTTAAATACATACCTAACTTTATATACTATGGGTTGAATCTTCACTAGAAAGAAAGGTGTGTTTTTAACTCAAGTAGCTAACATGAGGTAAAATTCTGCTGAAGACTACTCCTGGGGGAATTCTGTGCCCTGTGGGGAGGAGGCGCAGAATTCATACCTTCTGCAAATTTCTTGGCTCCCCCCGCAGAAAAATGGGGGAGCAAAGAAATCTGTGGGGAACACATGCCCCTTCTGTGGCAGCCTGGGCACATCTGCTGGGAGCAGCCGGCAGCAGAGAGATCACCGCTGGGGGGAGGAGGGAGGCTGGGCGTGCGTCCGTGGAGAGACATTAAGGGGGTGGGTCTGGATGCCAGCCTGTGTACCAATGAGTGAGAGTAAGGTGACCAGATGTCTCGATTTTATAGGGACAGACCAGATATTTGAGGCTTTTTCTTATACAGAAGCCTATTACCCCCCACCCCCGTCCCAATTTTTCACACTTGCTGTCTGGTCATCCTAAAAGAGAGAGACTCACTCTGTCCCTCTTGTCCCTGTTGCTGCATCCTGGGCTTGGAGGCGTAGTGTGAAGCAGGCTCTGTCCCTGAGGCAGAGCAGAAATGTACCAGCTGAACAGGCAGGCTCCTGATGTTCCCATTGTTAGTTAATTAAGGCTCCTTTACCTTGCCAGAGTGGTGTAAAGGAGCCTTATTGTGTATGACAATAACGGAATCCTCAGCTAAGAAGGTCTATGGGCTTTCTCCCTTTTGTTCCTGTGCCAGAGGGGCACAATGGGGTTAGATTACAGCTCAGGATCTATTTTACTTATCCATTACAAAAAAAAAAAAAAAAAACCGGACAAAAATTAGCAAAAATGTAAGACTTTCATCGAAGAAAGTCTGAACAATTTAAAGCGACATTCTACTTTACAGAACACCAAACACCAAAATAAAAGTCATGTAATTTAAATGAAAATCCAGGATTATAACTGGACTGTAGGGTCTTGGTTACGAAGTATTTGTAACTTAACTTTCATGTGTTTAGGAAATGTTGAAAAGTTATTGTGCTTGTTTTTCTGTATGGTAGTTTAAATAAATTACCCAAATAAGCGAAACTGGTGTGATTATATTGCATTATTTTGACAAATAAAATATGCAGAATTTTGCATTTTTGGTGCAGAATTCCCCCAGGAGTAGAAGACACGCCAGTTTGGAGTTTTCATAGGAATGAGCTGATTGAGGCAAACTCTAGGGTCCTTCATAGTCTTTAACTCCACCCACTAACATGAAAATGCCATACTGCCTCGTCTTCACTAGGATTTTACCTCATGGTAGTTAACTAAGTTAAAAACATACCTTTTATTTCTAGTGAAAACAAGGCCTGTGTGCAATGTGGCAAGTTAATAATATTATGAGAACCTGATCTTTTCCATTGCCACACATTTGTGTCTTTAAATTTAATAACCTTAAATTTAATATGAGTAGTTAATTTTTTGTGCATTTTTAATAGTCTTAACAGTGAAGTGAAAGTTGTAGCCGCTGTTCTGCTGTCTGTGATGTCACAGAAGTAGGACTTTATTAGGCTCTGCTAAAATCTTAGCAGATGCCTGTTGAGCATACTCAGAAGAGTTTATTTTCAATCACTGACAATTTTATTTGCTTGTTAATTCATCCACCCTGCAACTTAGATTCTTCCTCACTGCGGACCAGTCCCATTATAAGACTGGAGGGTTTTGTTTAGCTGGTTTTTAGTTATTAGTGAGCTAGTAAGCCATTCATATAGCTTCAGCCAGGGTTCTCAAACATTTTGAAGTCATGACTTTGTTACAACAGAGAAAAGTTTCAGGACTTCCTCCCTCCCACCCGCACATCATCCCATAACGTGAAGAAAACTTGTCACAGTCCCCTGAAACCTGTTTCTGACCTCCCCAGGTTGAGAATATCTGATCTAAGCTTTCTCCCCAG